GGGAGCTGCCCTTGGGGCTATCACGGAGACTCCAGTGGGTCCAGAACTCGGCCGCCAGATTGCTAAATGGGGTGAGGAGACATCAGCATATTTTCCCCACCTTGGCTGCCCTGCATTGGCTACCTGTTCGTTTCCATGCCAGCTTCAAGGTAATAGTGTTAATATACAAAACCCTAAATGGCTTGAGACTTTGTTATCTGACAAAACGCTTCCTCCAAATTAGATTGGCCCATCCAGTAAGATCTTCCCAGGCTGGGCGGTTGAGGGTTCTGACCCCGAGAGAGGCTTGGAAATCAGTGACTAGAAACTGGTCCTTATTGGCAGTATCCCTGCAATTGTGGAATGCTTTTTCACCTGAAATTCGCCTGGTGCCCTCACTGGGAATTTTCAATAAATTATTAAAAACAATCCTTTTTAGACAAGCCTTCCTGAACTCTACTCTATCTTGATTCAACTTATTATTCAACCCCACCCGCCATCATTTTCCTTTTCCTTTTTTATGTTAATGTTCACTGATGTTTTAATTTATTTAATTTTGTATTGATTAATTTATACTTTGTCTTGTTATTGCATTGTCTGTTGTATTATGCCATGTAAACTGCCCAGAGTGGCCTGGGTTGCCAGATGGGCAATAAATAAATAAATTTGCTTAGCCAGAGATCACTATAAGTTTACAGGTATCTTCTATTCCCTGGTTGTTACAAGCATTGTTTATATTTAAGGGAAGCCCCAGCAGGGCTAATTGAAACAGTATAAAGCTCTGATACTGCAGAAGCTCATAGAATTGCCCAAATTCCTGTTTGCTCAACAACAGGAACTTTATTGCTCCTTCTTGCAATAAAGTTTGATATCTGCCAAATTTCAGAATGTCTCCTGTTATGCGAATTTGATTCAAAATATTCAATAAAACATCAAAGTCATTGTCCACTACCAGCTTTAATACTTCTGCAGGCCTATCACTGAACCTATGAGCTTTGCCTTTTTAAAAATTAGTCATGTCACATTTTGGATTTCTGTATTTCAGGTTCAGCACACCAATCTTGAGTAAAATTTTTCTTGCTAGTCTGTTATTTACAAGAAATTCTTTATTGTACTCATTGGATATCACAATTTCACCCCTGAATTCAAAAATCAAAATATTGTTACATTCTGTTAGTGGCCGGCATTGCTATTCTTACACCTGCAACTTCCTTGATTTTTCATGCATATGAAAGACATTATGAATCTTCCTTAGGTTTCTCTACTTCTGTACAGTGCTTTGATCACCATCTTTCTTTGGTTTCTCTAATTTTGTTTCAAATGTCCTTGTGTAATTTCCAATTTTTGATGTCCTCTTTAATTTTTCCATTTTTGTCGCTCTCACTTTTATCTTATCTATAATACTTCTGTCATTTTCCACTTATATTTCCACTTCTAAGGTTGTTGTTGGTTACACATACTAATATCTCTGTTTAGTTTTGACCAAGTGGAGTTATGCCAGTTGTGATCTTCTTGAATTACAGTACTGTATTCATGAGCTTCCCTCCTTAACAACAGCATATACACTTGGATCATTTATTTAATTTCTTTACTTTTTCTGTTTTTATGCTTTTATATCTCCCTTAATTTGAAGTGAACTACAGCTAAAGATAAGATTGTCATCTGAATTTGGAAATCTCTGCAAGTTAGCACTACCAACAATATTGTATGAAACCGAACAGTTTATATGCTATTACAAAACAGTCAATGAAAACATACTCCAGTGTCAACATTAATTCAGCTTATCAATTCAATTCACTGAAATTTTGCTATCTTGTAAAAAAGATAAAAGTAGGAGTACACTTAATGGACTACAACCTATTTCTTCCTTATTTTATAAAAAATTGTGTTTTAGGGACAAGGCACTTTGAGACTGCATTCCTATCTATACTTTCTTAGCTAGAAATAGGCACCAGTGAACATAATCCTTACTTCTGAGTAGACACATAGAAGATTATGTATGCTGTGACTATCACTCTTATATGCTACAAGGTTATTTCACACATTTTCCCCTGACAAAACAAAGTTGTTGGTCTGTCAAAGTCTAATTTGTCAAAACAAAAGTGTTGTAAAAAACAGAAGACACCTGTACTATTGCATATTTCAGTACTACTTTATATCAGCCATAAACATCTCTCCTTTCAGCACCTCTTCAAAATAAATGTATGTGGAAGATTGCTTGCAGTGCAGCATTCAGTTTTATGAAACTATAAAATTCTTCACCGTTAATTACACAGATAAATGTCTCATCATACATTTGGTTACTAGGATGGCATAATTAGTTTTCCACATTAACCTTTCAAAAGCAGAATTTGAATTTCAAACTAAAAACCATTGTAAAAATCATTTACAATAGGCTGTGGGGAGGAAAAGTAATGCATTCCACAAAAGGTAGGGAAACATAAGCATCATGACTCTTACGAACTCCAGAGTATAGTCCAGGGTTAAGGGGAGGCAATGGCTGAAACTCACAACGGGAGCTCTGCAGCCTCATGTCAGTGGAACAGAAATTCTTGTTCCACAAAACAAAGAAAAATAAAGGCATGTCCTACTGCAACATCAATATTTAAAAATATATAATTATGGAATATAGTGTAGAAATATTTCTTAAGAACAAATATACTGTAACTTCCTCAAGCTATGAAAAATGAAAATAAGACATCTTTAAGATTTTCATATAGTTGCTACAGTGGACCCTCTACTTACGGAATTAATTCGTATTGCAGGTCGAAAAGTCTGTAGGTCGAGGCTCCATTGACCTACAATGCATTGAAAACCGATTAATCCCGTAACCGGCCATTTTTGTTCCATTTTTGTTCCATTTAGGTTTTTTTCTGGTCTGTAGGTCGATTCTCCGGCTGCAAGGTGAACCTAAATTTTGCGACCAGAGAAATCTTTAACTCGAAAAGTTTGTAAGTCGAGGGTCCACTGTAGTTTGTATTGACTTAAATGCTCCCCGAGGCATCTGGTGGGCCCACTGTGAAATACAGGAAGCTGGACTAGATGGGCCCTTGGTCCAATCCTGCAGGGCTCTTCTTATGTTCTTATGTTATCAACAAAGCCCAAACTGACCAACTATGTGCAATTTGAAAGGAAATGGCTAAAATGTGAAAACATCTCCAAGGAAAGAATGAGCACAACTTCTGTAGACTTCTGTGATTCTACATACCTGTACTATTCTTACATGCGCCTTATACACTTCCATAATTTTTCTTTTAAATCTCAGCATCCACTGCTTTCACAGTATAGACCCTTTAGTACAGTAATGATATACAATACAACCCAGACATTCTACCAGTACCAACAAAGATCATGAAATGCAATGGATATGCAAGATTACTGCACAGCTTGATACTGGGGTGTACATGTGCAATCAATGTGTTCTAAGAATAGCAGCCACTCCATACAAATAAATAGTGTTGTCACATCTACTTTCAAATCCAGAGTGTATACTGTAGTTATTTCCCCTGGAAAATGGCAGTTCTCTCACCAATAGAGTTCTGCTCTCTGCATCCTTACAGACTACATTTTATACAGACCATCTTCCTATTCATTTCTGATCCCCTTTTGAAGACCATTCTCATCAAAGAGCAGAGGACCTCTTCCCCATCCCCAATAAGCAGACACACAAATCACAGTACGAGTCAGTCAGTCCATAGCCTGAATGCAAACAAGGAGTTCCAGCACAGCACAACAGCTCTCTGAGCCAAGCTGTATCTTGGCCAGAGCAAGGTTTGATGGGATACCATTACACTGGCTAGGGTTGCCATGGTCTGAATCTGAAATTGGCATTGCTGTGACATGCCAATCGGAATGGACAGAACTGTATAAGACTCAAGAAACTGTTCTTTATTGGGAACACATTTTTAAGGGTTCTGTCCACTTCTACTCTCTTTCAGTTCTGTTAAGGCCAACTGAGCAGAAAGAGGAAGTCCCACTTTCCACCCATGAGTCTCCTACTTCTGGGATTTTCTGACAAGCAGCTTTTTGTCCTTGGGTGAGCTCAGCCTACATTTGTAGTTCTTCATGTACTTCTGGCGTGTAGGTAGGGCTGCAATATCTGTAGTTGCCAGTGTGGGCATGCTGATGTTCCACCATGTGAGCTGCCCAGCTGAATGCCTTGAATTCTGCAAGAACTGGGCTACACAATACATCATATCTTTGATTCCAGCTGAACTCAGCAATGTCTGGTCCTTATACATAGGAGAACCTGTGCTTTATTGGGAGCTGTTTAAAATCCATGAAATCAAACAGTAAATACTTTTTTACCATACAAAACATACAAAGAGTAGCTTGGCATTTTTCTGCAGTATCGAAAGTATGAGACAGGTACAAGCAGTGAAATATGAAGGAATAGAATTGTTGTACGAGCAATCATGAGAGTAATGAGCAATTCACTGATAAAGTCACATTAAGTTTCTTTTAGGCAGACAAATGTTTCAGTATTCTCCTTGCACATTTTAGACAGCTGATTTAATTTAATTTTGCTGTGGTTAAGATAAGTGGCATGCCTGCAGAGGTGAAGGGACATTATATTAAGACAACACATTAATCCCACCCATGGTCAAAGCAAAATGAAACAAATAGTGGCTTCCTGGAAATTGAATTTCTGTTATCCAGATGTCAAAGATGTAATACTCCAATTACACAAACTACTGCCAGTGAAGCATGCCAACAAATATGCTATGTAAATTGGCTGAGCACAGAGCAGCAAAACTGCAAAGTCAGCATTTGGTTCTCTGGGTGAGTGATAATTAGTGCAGTGTGTAGACACTAATAAACATTTATGTCTCAAATTACAACATTTTTAGCAAGTGTTAATAAAAGATACGCTGGCAATCTGCAAAACAGAGAGACCTTTGGAAGGAACATCCTATCAAACAATGGCAGGTGCATTCTATGTGCATGCTATAATTCTCACATGCACACTCCCTCTCCATTACAGATGTGGCATTTAGAAATCAATCAAAATGAGAACGTACCTAAATAAAATGGTTGTGCTTCTTTGGCCTCTCCGTTAACATCATTACTATAGTCAGATATCTTGTAAGCCTCATGATGATAATCTGGAATTAAAAAAAGTAAACAAATTAGAAATCAAGTGATCTGAAAAAAAATGAACACTGATTATGTTGCTGCAATTTTAACTCACAGCTCAGCAGTATATCTGCCGTTTTATACCATGCACACCAGATCAGTCAACGAAAACATGTTCTATGTCAGTTGTGCCTAGAAATAGACAAAGCCCTCTGCTTATGCTAAAAACACTTAACCAAAATATTTTACATATTTTAGAAAACAGCTATGCCTGCCCTCAGTTGTGATGTTCATTTTCACACTAAATTAACAGGCCAGATGTCAGTTATCTGGGTTCTTGTCTTACAAAATGCATGTGAATTTTGGATTGAAATGACAGGTCTGCCATCCTTAACAGATCAATAGAGATTTGCAAGCCTTCCCTCACAATAAAATTAGTGGGAAACACAAGGAATAACCTTTCAGCTCTTTTGGCCTTTTATCTGGGAAGGATGCCAATGAATTCTAATGGGAACAGATCAGGCTCTATGAATGGAAATTAATAGCAGTTTCAGATAAAACTGAACACAGACAATGAATATACAGGCTTCCTTTTCATCAGAACTACTTACTGAATAAATAACAATAAACCTGCTTACTTGCAGACACTAAAGAAAGAAAGAAACTATCACAGGCATTTATGGGGGGCGTTATATTCTTAGATTTTGTTACAGGCCTTACTACTGGTAAGGTCTATAATTGACAGAATAAAATAATAGAGAACCTTAAGGACTAATGGGCTGTATTGCATGCAACATCTATTACATCTTATGAAGGTACAAATGAATATCAAATTTTACACTAAGAAGTAAAATAAGGGACATTTAGCCAGTTTTCACACACAAGATGCCCAGATAGCGGAGACTAGAGGTAGTTTAAAAGAACTTAAAAAATGTCCTATTTCATTGAGAATTTTCATCCACTATGTGACTATATTAGAGGAATCGTATCATATTTGCTTAATCCCTGTTATCAGAAAAGCCCAGAGGTAATTGAATTTGCCTTGTAAAATCACTCCATCTCCATAAAGAACTGATTAGTGATAAAGATGGCAGGATCTCCTTGCCTAATTTACATCTACATTCTGGTTTTTAAGGTTTGTTGCACCAGAACTCTTCAACAGCAAAACTAAAAAGAGATGGCTTCTCCTCAACTCAGTGGCTAAAGAATCAAAAGGAAATTGGTTTGCATGAACTGACAAAATGCTTGGAGCTCTCTGAGGCATACAATGAGGAGACTAGACGGAATTCATTCAATAGAGATGTTGGTCTTCTAACAATCTCAGATACAAAGAGTAAGGCACTAACATGTAGAACATTACATTTTAAAAATAGTTGTCTAGCCTAAGTGTGATAAACAATTATAGGCCAACCCTTGGAAGCCCCTTGGAAAAATCATCTAATACTTTAAAAACTACTATTGGATTGAAAGATGGGTTCAACATCTTGCTTCTGAAAGGCCATTTTCTGTGATGGAAGCATCAAGAAAAGGTGCTTTAGAAGCAACAAGTCACATCAACATTAGAAATTACTATAAATATGTCAGTTTGCAACTGTATGCTATGAGGATGGTACATAAATACGTACTGCCACATTACACTTAATTTGTAAGTATACTTTACAAAAACATCCTCAGGCAAAAAAGAACATGCATTCATTCAATCCCTGTTCTCATTAGTGTGCAATTCTGATGACAGAAAAATATACAGTACAATGCTCTAAACTATGACAAAAACTGCAAGCAAATTTGTTCAGGAGAAGATTGTGGCAAACTACTGTAGCAAAAAATGGCTGGGACAGAAGTAATCTAGCAGAGCAGAATGATGCCACAGGTAAAACGAGACTATAGCATAAGTAAGGAATTTAAATATTACTTCAGCAATTAACTCACCTGGAGCCTTTAGATAGGTCACTACATCTTACTCTTGCTCTCTGAGGTGCAAAATAGAGGAAACAATAGTGGTCTGCCATAACGGGGTTTTTGTTAAAGATTTTGATAAGAAGCCAAGAAAAACAATCCATGACATCCGGATCGTATTAAGTTTCAAGATTTAAAAAATATTTTAAACTATTTATGGATATATTTATTGGCACCATAAGTTAGCCCCATGGCCTTAAAAAGGCAATGAATTCAAAGTCAACGGGCAAAGAACAATAGCCTTAATAACTTTTACAGCTCAGGCATAAGTCTGTTTACTGCATTCAGTAGGTCTTACATCTAGGTAAGACTGCATGGGATTGCATGCTCAGGAAAATGTTATGCCCAGAAATAACATGTACATACGTATGTATGTATTTATTTATTTTCCCTTCTGCTTCCAGTCTGAATCTTCTTATCACTCATTATTTCTATCAATATGTCAATCATGATAACGGGCATATGCCTAGAGGTGTGCTGACCTGTACAGACACCAAAGGATAAGAAAAATTGTACCCCTGCCCCCAGGAGGATCACTGTGATTCATGGCTGAGTCAATAAGGTCGAATACCCCTGAAAAGGTTGGAGTAGAAATGAAACAAATAGCTGTCTGGTTTTGCTTATATAATTCAGTGTCTCGGAATTCAACAACACTTCTCTCTATGGCTATATGAGCACCTGGGAGTCATTTTATTTATACAGGACATCAGCATGTGCACTCACAGACTTAACTGTGATGTGCACTAAACCTGTTTTCTACTGCTGGTAAATTCAGCCACAGAAAACAAACCTTTCCCCAGTTCCATCCAGCAACACAGCCTCTCTGTGGCTTAATTTCTTTGTCACATTAAAGTGTTACAAAAAGTTGGGAACTAGCTTTAAAACTGAAAGACAGAGGTACTCTACAGTACAGCCAGAACTTCTACTTGTTAAATTTGAAATGTCCAACTATGCAAGAGCATGGACCCCATTCAGACATTTTCATGGGGAGCAGAAACTCAAAGATCTAAGTAAATTGCACTAAGTCCAAATAAATAAATAAATGTTCATAGTTTCTAACTTTTCCCAAGACAGAGTATATTGCCAAATCTAAATGCTGTTATGCAATGAAGTTCTAGTATGAAAATAAGTGATCTATGAAACAACTCATGAGACAAATATAATATTCAAAATGCAGTATTTCATTGGCTGGGAAACATGCCTGCATTAAAAACTATGAAAGTTAACTACTGTACAGGTCACAAACTTTCACAGTATTGCAGCAGAAATTTTTTTGTATTTCAAAGTGTTAAATAAATTAATATTTCTACATTAAATTTAATTACTGAATTCAGGATCCGGTTCTGTGTATCTGGAGTTTCTACCCCCATTAGTCTCTCCCACTGAATATTCCAGAGAAGACACTATACACAGTCCACCAAAAGCACAACATGACTGTACATAATCCATTTATTTCAAAGGGGCATATTTAGCATTTACTATTTCCTCTGATCACTGGACACCAAGGCCTAGATCATTCACACTACTGTATTCCTGATTACTATATACAGAAACCTAGAAAAGAAAGCTGATAAGATGAAAAATGATTAATTTGGTGCTAGATAAGAGATTTATGGATATCCTGGAGTGCCAGAAAGACAAATAAGTGAGTCCTAGATCAAATCAAGCCTGAAGCTTCTCTGATGGCAAAAAATGACAAAAATTGGGTTGTCCTATTTTGGGTACATCATGGGATGGCAAGATTCTGTGGAAAAGACAATAATGCTGGGAAATTTTGAAGGCAGCAAGAAAGAGAAAGCCCAAATATGAGTTTAAGCTTAAATTTGCAAGCTCTGAGCAGGGCTGTTGAAGACAGGACATTTTGAAGAGCACTCGTTCACAGGGCTGCCATAAGTCAGAGGTGACTTGAATGCATGTAACAACAACAAATTTCCTCTGAAAGCTAGATGGATAGCTCAGTGAGTTAGGTATCTGGTTGCGAAGCCAGAGGTTGGGACTTCAATTCTCCACTGTGCATCCCAGAAGAGCCAGGCTGTGCAGCCTTAGGTAAGCTGCGTAGTCCCAGAAGTGCATCCAGGAGAAGGGAATGGTAACCTGCTTCTCATTACTCTACATAGAAAGCCCTGAAAAGGGTAACCATAAATCAGAATTGACTTAACAGCACATAATTATTCATTATTTCCCTTAAAACTAGCAAAGTTTGTAACCCATACATATACAGTACATTGTGTGTTGCAACTGAGACATATTGTTTCGACAACTATAAACATTGTAATTTCATCCAATATACCGAACATTTTTGCAAAACTTTTCTTGCTGCCAAACTCCTGTGTTTATGTATCATGTAAAATATAGTAGTGTGAGCCTTCTGTATAATGTTAATTCCTAAAACACCTTAGGCGCCACAATTTCCCAAATCAGATACAGTGGTACCTCAACTTGAGAACATCCCTACATAAGAACGATTCGGATTAAGAACGGCTCTGTTCGCAAAAAGTTGCTTTGACTTGAGAACAGAGCCTCGACTTAAGAACCAAAAAAAGAGAAAAAAAACACACCACACCTTTCCTGCCCTTTTTCTGACCAAAGTTCAGAACTAAAGCTTTGACTTAAGAACAGTGCCTCAATTTAAGAATGAAAAACAGCAGGTACAGATTAAATGGTTTTCAATGCATTCCTATGGGAAATGGTGCTTCGACTTAAGAACGTTTCGACTTAAGAATGCAGTCCCAATATGGATTAAGTTCTTAAGTCGAGGTACCACTGTAAACACATCACATTAGCTACTTTACCTACAATTTAAGGGCATCCAAAAGACATTTTCATCTGTGGAACTCCTTTCCTCTTCACAAACTACAAGCTTAAGCATGCTTGAACAAGTCTGAAAAAAATGATCTCCTTCCTGGATAATTTTGAACAGGAATGTTAACCCTTCAAAGTTTGAGAATGTAACAAATAGCTTAGTATACTCCATCCCTTGAGCTTAAAGTTTGAGGTTCAACAGATACAATGCTGCAAGTGCAACAGAAGACATTATGGGTGTGACAGCTATGACTCAATTAATGGGACAAACAGACAATGGCAAAAAACAAAACTCAACACAGTCATTTGTGGGAAGTTTCACAGCAAAGTCTTGCTTTGTACATTGTATTAGTTAGGCATCCTTCAGTCTCGAAAGACTATGGTAACGTGCTCTGTATGCAGGATTTGGAACAGTGTGGCTGAGGAGGCCGATTTGAGAGTGAGAATCCCTTCCACACTGAAGACAAATACCATCTGTCCCCTGTCCAGCTCCCTGGTTTTGCTGCTTTTGTGACTTCCTCTTTGCCTCGGCCTGCTGGACAATGGTCTCTTCAAATTGGGAGAGGCCGTGATGCAACGCCTGCCTCCAGGCTGAACGCTCAGATGTCAGGGTATAGCCACTGTACATTAGTGACATGGAGGCCCCATATATTGTTATTTTAATGTGGCAACCGTTTATGATTTTTTTCCCTTGTACTTCCAATTTGACGTTCTATTGGGAGACAAACTATCTTTCCTGTTGCTTCTGACTTGCGATTCTACTCTCCTGAATAACCTTTGCTATATAATTTAATCTAAGATGTCAGGATCAGTGATCACCTGTCAGAGAATTCATAAAAGAGAGACCTACATTCCCAAACAGCCAACCCAAGCTGGTCTCCTATCCATACTACCAAATCAAAATGTAGTTTATTTATTTATTTGAATAAAGAAAGTCCTTAACAAATGTGAAATGTTGAGTATTATGCCTTGTACACTCAAAGCTTTAGCTGTGTATAGTAAACATATGAGTCCATCATAAATAAATTACTGCCTCATGTTCTCTTGTTAAATTTTATAATCCAGGTCTGGGAAGTGCATACTGGTTCCATGATAGGAAGCAGAATGGCCAATGATACCACAGTCATGATTCAAGCAGAGGAAACAGGCCTGTCAGTAGGGTGACACCTATTAATACATAACTTTAGTGGCAACAATTTTTTACTCAAGTAAAATAAAAATAACACCACAAAAGTGTGTGATCAACCACACACTTTTCAGACTATAATTCGAGTAAGTGCTTTGTCTCTGGTCTTCTAAAACATAACATCCAACAGGTAAAGTTCCCAGGTAAACAGGAGCCCAGAACAGTTTGCAGAAGAATTAGAGCCAAGATTGCTGAGCATAGCTTGTACAGTATTTCCTTTTTATTACTGAAAACCTATCTGATGAAACCTTATTTTTTACTTTATTTTACTTTAATTCGATTTATACCCTGCCCCTCTAGACCAGGTCTACTTGGGGCGGCTTACATACATAAAAACACAACAAACAGTATCTTAAAAGATTAAAATATCAAAAAAATTTAACAATTATATAAAAATTATATAAAAACCTTGCCAAGAGGGAAAGATTAAAGAAAAAGTAAAGAAAAAGTAAAAACAGTTTAATTGACTGGAGGGAAAGCCTGTCTGAAAAACCATGTACAGTATGTACTAGCATACATCCTACATGGGATCCTAAAACCTACCTATATATTTGTAACTTTGTTTCAGAAGGCAAATCATTCTGAAACAAATCAGTCACATTTTTGCTGTGTGACAATTTCCAACTTCAGCCCTAACTTGCTACTGTCCAACAACACAGCTATCACATGGCAAACATAACCTTAGGAGTTAAAAAATAAACAGACATGTGCTGCCATGGATTCAGCCGAAAACTAACATTCAGGTTGGTTATTGTTTCTCCTAGTAATATTCCTTCATGCTGATCTCAGAAATCTTGCATCCAATCTTCCTAGAATGACAAGTTAAAGGGGTGTGTCCCAATTATTTAATAGAATGCCTTATATTAATGGCATTATACTAAAAATATTACCTTAAACTTAGCATGCGAGACACATATGTAGCTTATAGAAATATGTCTACTCAATCTGAAATATCTTACCCAGACACATTTTAAGGTGAAATTAAATACAGTAACAATTTCCCAAGTAGAACACCTGTTATACAACACCAAGGAACTATATATACCTCAGCCGAACCTGTTAGTGTGAATCTAAAAACGTTTAACGTAAATTATTCTGCTTAAAAATCTGCATTCCTTTTCTGAGGAGCTCACTCACACACAGTAAAAGAACAAGTTGCATGCCAACAATTCCTCTTTGCTCATGTACAATTAATTAGCTGCGTTGTGGTTGTGTGTGCTTACGGCAACGTCTACGAAGCTCTTCGTTAAAATGCTATCTGTACACAATCGATTCATAAAGGAAGGGAAGAAAAAACTGACAACGGATGGCCATAGGAATTCAATACTTTTTTTAAAAATGCTCATCTCTTTCTAAGTACAGTATTATTGTTTTGCTAATTTCCTGATCAGGCTTTTTTAAAAAATTGCTGTTACCAAGAAAACACAATCTAACTTTAAATTTTTTTATAGGTCATGTGAATGCGAAAAAAGTGCCTATTATATTAAAAATGGAGACAAACCCACCGCTTCCACTGTGAAGACAATTAGATGTTTTAAATAATAAAGAGAGACAGCAGGAAGCATAAAAAGAGGTGGACAGAAGGGAAGGACAGACATTTCATAACATCCTGTTCTTCCTCTCTTGAAATAACCCAACTACCTAGACATAAAACTCTTTTTCTACCCAGAAACAAAAACAAATATCGCGTAAACAACCCCCTCCCCTTACCTTGATTTATCAGTTTAAAGCTTTGGGATTTCCTGCTTCTCTTCCTCTCAGTAAACTCCATGGTGTGAGCAAGAGGGAGGAAGGAGGAAGAAAGGAAGGAGAAATCAAATGGGGCGAGCGAGTGAGTGAGTGAGAAGAGGGCTGGGTACATTAGCCACCCAAGCAAGGAAGACCAAGGTCCGTCTCTTTAATCAGCAAAAAATAAAACTGGAACTGGGCGATTTCAGTTCCAAGTGCAGAGAAACAGAAGAGAAGGGAACTGGGACAAGTTGGCTCCAGACTTTCCCTCGCCTAAGCTCCAATCTTCCCCCCATTCAGTTCCAAACTTTGAAAAAGGGGGCTGCCGTCCCCCTCCCCTCTTCCCCCTGGTTACGGAGGAAAGAGGGAAAGCCTTGCCGGCTTCAGCCTAGCCACGGGTGCGCGTACAGAGAGAAAG